AATAAATATATAAAAATAATAATATTAAAAATCAAATACTTAGCTAGCTTATCTATATAGAAAGCAAAATAAATAAAAAATCAACGGAAAAATGTTTGTAAACCCCAAAAAATACCAAAAGACCACTCAAGGAACAACTCTATCTATGCTATTTACAAATCCATGTAGTCATTTCATAAGCTAACACTTAAGTCATTAATTAAAATTTATAACCACTCAAGGGCCGCTACTAAATACTTAATAGCCTAACTCTAAATCATAATTAACATAAACGAAGCAGATCAAACATATTTAGCATAATTTCCAAGAAAGTGCAACTGCAAAGTTCGAATTTGTTGTGGAATGCAAAGCCGTACTCGAAACTCGAAGTTATTTAATTAAGAAGTACAGCAATTAGCTGAGATATCTCAATTGATATCCCATTGCAATTGCACGTCGTTGCCCATTCGATTTACTAATTAAAATTCGGCCTTGAACTTCACAGAAGAGAAAACTCAATACGCATACGCCGTGTAGACGACGAAGCTTCGATAAATGCGTATGTGTGTGCGAGTTTGTGGGTGTGTGCGTGTAAGAGAAACTGTTGCATACTTTCGGGCGGATGTGAATTAAGTGGACTGGGGTAAAAAGTGCTTTTCATGCTACCGAATCGATTGGCATTTAAATTTGCTTTAATTTCGCTCATTCAAAACAATGAACAAAAAGGCAACAGTAACAACAACAACAGCAATCGAAATGAAGTGTAAACAATTCAGGTGTGAAGCGAAAACAAAGGGAATAGCCAAAAGCAAATACAGACAAAGAAAATTAAACAACAAAAAAAAAAAAAACGAGCCCAAAAAGCGCACAGCGCAAGGCAAACAAAAAAAAAATAAATGAAAATAAAAATAAAAACAAAAAAGCTTTCGAAAAATTGAGTAAAAATGTCGCTGATTGAATAAAAACTAAAAATAAAATTGCGGCAAACGCGGCGTATGAGCAATCTAACTAAAGATCAACTCAAATTAAAAATAAAAAAATATATGATATACACATATACATATATACAGAAAAATTTTTTTAGTATATATAAATTCAATTATAGCAAAAATGTTTATGTTCTCATACAACAATAACAAAAATTGTTTAAAAAATTTTCAATAATTTTGACAGCTTGTGCGAGGTTGCTGTCGCTCTCTCTCTCTCTTTCTCTCTCCGTCTTTCTCTCTCCCTCTCTCTCTCTCTCTGTCTGCGTGGTGGGCGGCAAAGCAAGGTGTAGCTACCAGGTGACATTTGTGAGCAGCCTTATATTCAATATGTATACACATGTACATATATACATATACATATATACATATATATATTTTGCATATATTTATTTTACATAATCAACGCAGCATTTTACAGCTTTTTACACTCACTTGTGGGCCACACTGCAATTGACTAATTGAAATTTGTTAAACTTTCGCACACCTATACGCATGCCTTTGGTGGCACGTCTCGTACTTCAGCTATCGGCACTTTGAGCTCTAGTTAAGCTTTGATTCGCTTTTCGCCTGTCGATTTCGAATTCGATTCGCACACACGCACGCACGCACTCACGAGACAAGCACGTCCTGTTGCACGCACTTCAAGCTGCACGGGCAGCTGCAAGATAACACTATAAACTATATATACATATATATATATATCTTTATCTATATATATAGGGTATAGTATATGTGTGCTATATAGCGAATATCTATTGGGCACTGCGACACGTCCACTCGCGAGCGTGTTGCAAATGAAAATGAATTTTTTTTGGGGGGCCTCTCGACTGGCAGCGGCAACATCTTTGATGATCAGCCGTTCTGAGGTGAGTTTTATAAAAATAACGTACAACAACGACAACAACAACGACATGAAATAGAAAGCGTTATAGGGTGGGAAGTGCATGATCAAGAGATACCCCTTGAAGACCTAATCAGTGCACGTTTTAGTGATGAGCGAGAACGAGAAAATTGCAAAGAATTTAAATTTACCTTTTCCTTTTCTTATTAACGTATTATTAACCGTTAAAACAGAAAAATATGAGACTGTCTATTTGTGTGAGGGCTGTTTAGTACATTACACTCTCATTATTTATCTATAACATAAAACTTACGGAATGCACTTAGAAATATATAACAACTATATCGATATTAATCGCTTTTGCAGCCAAGTTATCGAAGACTTAAAAAAAAAGATTGATTTGCACCTCTTCTTCTGTATAGTTTTGAGAATTGCAATAATAGAGAGATGAGCAGACTGCAAAATAATGAGACAGTTTGACAGACAGACATATGTATATGTATATATATATATATAGGCGGACAAACAGACAGAGACAGAAAAAGATCGACAGACAGGAATCTTTCTATCTATCTATACCTCTCTGTCCATATAGACAGACATATAGATAAGCAAACAGACAGACAGGTGTATACAAATTGGTGAAAAAAGACAAATATATGTATAGAAGTCTCCCTTTCTATATACATACATATATGCGATAGACAAATATAACTCTATCTGTCTATATAGACAGATATATCGATGAGCAGACAGACTGAAATATAAACAGTTAAGTGAATAGACACACATTTACATAAACAAATACACAAACATATATGCACAAACAGTAGCGAATAAACTGAAGGTATTGATAGGCAAAAAGGTATTTAGAGATTAAGTTGGATATCGATATCTATAATTGAAATCTAGCTTAGCAGCTTTAGGTGGCTGCATAGTAAAACTCATAATATCTGCTACATATACGGAAAGAAAGAAAGAGAGAAAGAGGGAGAGGGAGATAGGGCGATAGACAGAGAGAGAGCGAAAAGGATAAAACGGGAGAATACAATATGGAGCGAGACAGAAATAAATAAAGGGGTGGAAACAGAGAGATGTAGAGAGAGTAAGAGAGAGAGAAAGAATGCGAGAGATCGAGAGTGAGACACAGTCTTTCCTTTCAACTCTCAAATGAACCAATATACCCTACACAATAATTTACAACGGCTTCGCGTCGAACAAGAACAACAACTGAATAGAAAGAATTTCGTTTCTCGTCCACTTTCACATACTTACACACACACACAACGGCAACAACAGCCACCATATCTTTTGCCCGCTTGCTCGTTGAACCGCTCTGTGGAATTCTCAATATAATCTCTTTACAATGGACATTATTTTCATTGTCGCCAGCCAAGGCGAATATCAGCTCGCTTAATTGTTGCCTATTTGGCAATGACTGCCATAATTATTATCATATTTTCCTCTCACCCCTCCCCCACCGCATTTCTTTTTTATCACTACTTATTTCGCAGTTGCCTTTCGGCCACTTCTACCATTTCCAGACGCCCACGCATTTTGGCCAAAAATTGAATCATGAATCATTTGTCTTGATCTTCTTCTTATTCTTGTATATTTATAAATGGGCATGGCTATATTTATTAATATGGCCGCATCGACAAGTTTAAACAAGCACAAATTAACGGAATTGTCTGAGCGCAAAATGAAAAATTCCGTTACTTTTCCTGCCTGCGGCATACGTGAAAGAAAGTTGGCTAATGGGAACTCAAATACCCTGTAATAATTTGCAATCGAGAATCGAGTTGATTAGTTTAGCGCATGTTCTACTCGCTGAGGCACATGAGCACCCAAGTGCAATCAGCCGTTAGTAAATGCACTTACAAGTCCATTAAACGATGCACTCAATGCGATTTTAGCACTGCACAGCTTTACAGTTATCAGTTATTAATAAATATGTTTACAGTAGCATAACAATTTTCTTGAATCACTTCTTCTTCACGCTGTCACACGATCAAGACTGACTCCCTCTTGCTGGCTTGCCTGCAAACTAACGGAAATGTCAATTCGCGTTTGTTTATGTGTAGGAGCGAGACAGCCAATTACGCACTCGTCAAGCTCATCTTCCACGAATCGGAGTACAAAAGCAATAGCAGAAGGCGAGAGCGTTGAGCAAGAGCCGGGCAATGCTAACCTTGAATATGTGCAGCAAGGCAAATAAACAGAAGTGGAGTGAAAGAGAAATTGAAGAAGAAGCGCACTTGGAATAAGGGCATATGTGTTTGTATATGCATTTGTTTACGCTGTTTGTTTTTATGAGTATATTTATATAATGATGACAATTCTATAGATAAATTTGATGGGTTTATTTATATAAAATCTATAAGTAAATTTGATGGGTTTATTTATATAAAATCGTTCGCATAAATACATTTGAATTGATAAATTTGTATTAGTATTAAAGACATAGACATTTGTATAGCTAATTTTGTATAAAATCATATGCACATATATTCTCATATATAGACCCTTAGTACTACTAAGATAGTAGATTCATTTGTCTAGGTGCATTGATAAAAATACATTTCAATAGGTAAATTTGTATACGTATATTTATATAAGAAACCTTTTGTAGGTATATTTCTCTACGTAAGATCATATATGTTTAAGATCATATATAGACCCCTAGTACTACTAAGTTAGTAGATTCATTTGTCTAGCCGCATTTATCAAGGTACCTTTCAATAGTTGAATTTGTATATGTATATTTGTATAACAACTCTTTTGTAGGCATATTTCTCTAGGTGCATTTGTATAAGTATATTTATATGATGGCATTTTATTAATTTAGATGCTGTTAAGTAGCTTTATATGTATGTGAAAGTACTCTTACGGAGGTACACTCAAGTGCTCAACCTTCAGTGCAAACACCATTCGCCTTCTCCTTCAGCCATGCAAGTGTAAAGCGGAGCAAGCAATGCCAATAACACTCGAGTGTGAGTGCGTGTGTGTGCGTATATCATACTCTCTTCCCTCTCACACACTGTTTACATACATGTGTGTGGCAATGGCCTCTGTGCGGTTGGACTTCATTTGCGTTTCTATTAGACTGCTTGTCTTTTGTTTAACGCTACCAGCAGCGCTGCCCTCTCCATCTCCCTCTCCCCCTTTCTCTCACGCGATCTCTCTCTCGACAATTGCGTGTGGCCAGCTGACAGGCTATTGTCAATCCGTGTTGATGAATTTATGTTGTGATTTTTCCGCTAGTGAAACACACAAAAGCCGCAAGTGCAGTGCGCTTCCAGTTGTTGTTGTTGTTTTTGTGTTGATTTCCTTTTGTGTTTATTTTTATTTTTGTTGCATCTGCAATTTATGACAGCATTGCTGACTTTTTGTACTCATCAACAAGATGTCAACGCGTCGCAAATGATGTCCGCTTCACTCGCTCTCTCCCTCTCTCTCTCACTCTCTGTCTTCATGGTCTAGGTCAGGCGACGACCTCCCTCTCGGTGTAGCTGCCTCTTTCCCTCGCGGGCATTTAAATGCGCACTTTTAGAGCACTCGCATTGGCTGCTTTGCTTTGTTGCTTTTCCTTTTGGAGTGCTTTAGCACAACATGTGCGATTTTTTCTCACATTGATTTGTTTGCTGGTCTGGTATTTTTATAGTTGCGGCTAATTGCGGGGCATCAATTTGTTGCATATTTGGAGTGGATTCGTTTGGGGAGCTTTTGGTAGCATGATTAATTACAATTGATGGATGGCCAATTGGCAGACGCGGACGGCATAATGAGCGCCACAAGCAGGCATTATTAATGGCCATCTAACGGTGCAAACTCACACACACACACATATAGAGATAGCAAGTTTGGCTAATTACTGCAGCGCTTTTGTAGGGACAATAGCATACTTAACCGTTAGACTCGATTGCCAATAATAATGAATTAGCAAACAATTTCAAGCATTTCGACGAGCAGCGAGGGCTGCTTAGAAAGTTTAGTGTACATATTTAAAAATTATTTATATAATGGGTATTTTTCTCCATAATCAATAGAAATAAAAGTAAATATTAAACA